AGGAGGGGGGAGGAGTGGCACCAAGAACTGGGTGATTCCAATGTGTAGCCAGTGCCCAGAACCACTGGGTCAGAGGCATTTTTATCAGGTGGTATAGACCAGTGCTTCTCAAACTAATGTGGAAACGAATCACTGGGACATCTTGTGAAAATGCAGATTCTGATTCAATGGGTCTGAGCTGGGGCCTGAGAGTCTGCATCTCTACCAAGCCCCCCGGGTGATGCTGGTTCTGCGGGTGCCCAGACCACACTCTGAGTAGCATAGGTGTACCATCCCGCTTTAGGGCCAGGCAGCCTCCTTTGCTGCTCTGTAGTTAAGGCATTCAGTGTCTCAGATTTCAGACCTCTCAGTTGTAAAAATGGGGAGAAGAGTAAGACTTCTCTTCCAGAAGCAAGTGAGATGAAGTAAATCGAGTAAGATCAATTAATGTCTTATTTACATAAAATGCTTAAGCATTGCCTGGCATACTGAAAAATTGTACAAATGTGTCTTATATGAGATATATTACATGTATCTTGCTGCTCAGAGACTGTCAGTCTCTTTGGGTTTAACCAAGTTCCTGCCGTAGATTTTTCTCCAGGGAGTTGGGGGTGGGGATGGGGGGATGGAGATGCAAGCAGAAGAATTAGCAAATAAGGAAAGAAAATTTTAATGGGTAACGTGCAGCTCTTCCCCAGAGGGACCAGAGATTCTTATTGTACCCAGATGTCACCACAGACCTCTCCATGGCACTTTCTGTGGGCCGGGCACTGGGGAACACAGGGAGGATTATTAAAGCCTTGGCTCCTGCAGTCCGGACATGGAGAAAAGGTGTGTGCAGGGAGGGGTGAGGTCCCAGTGAGAAGGGGTTCCCCTGTGCACCCCTGCACATAGGTTGGTGCAGGAGGCCTGGATGAGGAGTAGACAGTTCTGCGTTCCAGTCACCCATTAGCCACCTGTGGTCTTAGCAAGTCAAAGACTTTCTCTAGACCTTCTGAAATGTGTCTGATGGTAATTAAGGAGATCAGTCGAGGTCGTGAACTGGAAAGAGTCCTATCAGTGTAAGCTGCTCCTTTATAAATACAGGCACCCAAATTTCCTCTTTCTGAATTTGACAGCAGGTTGCTCCTGTGGGTGTTAATGAGAAAATATTTGTTACTGGCCTCTGGAGCTTGCCCCAGCTTTCAGGGAACAAGGTGGGTGGGTACCCTGAGGCAAGAGGGGCACCCCAAGATGTGGTTTTTCTTTGTGGGAGGCAGAGATGGGAATACCAGGCTGTCCCCAGCGGAGGTGGGATGCCACTTCCTCAGAAAGCATCTTTGTGAGTTAAGGGAGTCTCCAGGGCTCTCTCAGCTACCCCAAGGCAGGGGGCCAGTCCTCCCTTGTCCTCCTTCTGGAGCCTCCTCCTTAAACAAGTCCCAGCCTGAGTGGGAGGGGACAGAAGGCATAGAACCCATCCTCTCTCCTGTCCCCATTTTGCACATAAATCCCACTTATCCCCTCACAGAGGTCTCTGGCACAGACTAGGTCCCCCCCTCACTGTCTCCTGCTCTGCTCTCTCTGTGCCCTCAGCTCTCCTGGTAAAGCCACGGGCCCTTAGAAGGGGATCCCCTCGGGAAGGGGTTGGCTAAGGCCACCCGGAAGCCCTAGCCCTGCCCGTTTTGGGTATCTCCTCCTCCTCAGGCCATGTTCCCTCTAATTTAAGCTAGCAAGGCCGGCAAATGCCTGTCCTTAAGGGGACAGAGTTGGATGTGACTTAATAAGGCCGAGAGCCACAAGTAATCCCCTAAGTACTTGCCCTGTAACCTGAGATGATCGGGCCCGCACACACCTGTTTTCACTCCTTTGCTGATAGCAGTATAAAAAGCATGCCGGTTAATGACTCTAGGAACTGACAAGGGGGTGGAATGTCCAAGCATCTGTCCTATCGTGGAAAGATCTCCCGGTGAGCCTGGCTGCACGTGCCTGCCGAAAGGGATCCCTGAGTTTCCCTCCTTATGGTGATCAGGACCCAGTGGAGGCTTGAGGGGTGGGGCTCTTGGGGCAGCTCAGCCACTCACTCCCCGAGGGATGGACAGTGGGTGGGAGGGAGGCCGAGTAACACCTGCTCTGCTTGCCTCAGTAGACCAGGGAGGGAGGTCCACATCTCACTCCTGGAGGACAGGAGCTAGGTTGCGTTAGACTCTTTAGAGAAGCGGAGTGAGTGCCAACCCTGTGAAACTGACCAATGGTGTTCTAATCATTTAGAACTGCAAGTTTCCGCTTCGGGTGGCACAGAAGATGTTGGCAATTTGTTGGAGAATCATTTCTCTGCTGGAGAAGCAAGTCTAGAGGAGAAGGAAAGGGCGCTTTATGAGGAGGCGGCCCCTCGAGAGAAGACCCTGCTCCTTCACTCCCCGGATGGCAGGGAGGCTGAGAGCTCGGAGCAGACAGCCGCTGGGGCCCCTGCCGGTGCCGGCCCGGGCTCTGGTCCTGAAGTCAGCCTCTCCAATGCCTCAGCCTCAGAGTCAGCTGTCCCTGGGGACCCTGCGGGGTCTGGGGAGGAAGAAGCGGGCCCACTCGGAGCCAGCACCCTTCCAACAGAAGGGGAGGGCGGGCCTGGGGAAGAGCTGGGATTGGGAGAGGGCCCAGGACAGGAGGGGGCTGGGGGGGAGGCCGAAGGGCAGGCTGGGAGTGGCTTGGTCCCTGAGGAAGCTGAGGAGGTCCTAGGAGACCACCCTGCACAGGGGGCAGCAGGAGGGACTGCACAGCCGGAAGTCTTGGGAGCCTCTCCTGGCATGGAGGTCATGGAGGTCCATGCCCCTGAGACACGACAGGAGGACAGCCCAGGGCCTGCTCGGGAGCCAGAAGTGCCAGATGGAGTCTTGGACATGGACACAGAAACCAAGGAGGGGCCCGAGGACCAGGGGGAGCCCAGCCCCAGCCCAGCCTCGGAGACCGGCCATGCACAGAGCTCCGAGGCAGGGGGCGCCCAGGAGGACCGCCCCGCCGAGGGCCAGGCACCAGGGCTAACCGAGGAGGGCCTGGACGAGGCCTCCTCTGAAGAAGAGAGTGGTGACCATAGTGGAGGCGAGGAAGGAGGAGCTCCATCAGAAGAAGAATCTGAGGAGGACATTAGCGATGGGGAGAGTTCAGAAGAAGCAGGGGATGCCTCAGAGGAAGCTGGGGAACCCCAGGAAGCAGCAGGAACTGAGAGCCCTGGAGATGATGAGGGGACCCAGCTGAGCTCCGAGGAATTAAATACAGGGCCCGAGGGGGACGAGGCAGAGGAGTCTAAGGAGGGGCCTCAGGGTAGGGGATTACCAGGATAGCTCTCAGCACTCTTCCTGGAAGACGTGTGTGTGGTGGGATAGGCAGGGGCAGGGTGGGGCAGGAGAACACCCAGCCAGCTCCAGGTTTGCTGGGTGGAGGCCCCGGCCAGGATGCCTGGCCCATGGGGTGCCTTTGGGCCGCTCATGAGCCACTAAACCCTGTTGGGAGGGACCAGTGGGAGGCTGCACCATGTAGGGCCCAGAATAACCCGGTCACTTCTGAGTGAGGCCCTCCGGAGCCTCCCTGTTAGGGTCCTTCAATCTACTTTAATGTGGGCCAGTGCCTTAACCTGAAGGGGACATGGGACACAGTGGCAGGTTTTGAGGCCCTGTGGTGGCAGGCTGGTGGAGAGAGGTGCGGGTATGGTGTGTTCCGGAGCCCCCTGGGTTCTCCCCTTGAAGACTAGGCTGGGTCCGGTGGGGTGGACGAGGACTGGGGTCAGGATGGTGATAAGAAATCTCAGGCTGGCTGGGACTGATGTCCTGCAGGACTGGGGGATGGGGCGCAGGGGAGGGCAGGGCCATCACTGGAGATGTAGTGCATCCTAAGGATGGCCGGCGCTGCCCACCCCCCCCTCCCCCCCCCCCCCCCCGGGAACCCGCAGCCTCCGCCCCCCCCCCCCCCCCCCCCCCCCCCCCCCCCCCCCCCCTGCCGGCCACATCCGAATATGCTGGCCTGGACCAAGAGCGGCCTTCAGGATGGAGGGCCTGAGCTCAGTCCTCACTTTCCAGCATGGCTCCCCCACAGATTTCCTTGCAGGATTTAGTTTCCACACTACTTGTTGGGCACTTGCACCCTCCACAAGGGGAAGGACCTGCAGCCAGCCGGCAGCTCCCCTTTTCCCCTGTCCCTTCTGTGCTGCATCTGGGGTTGGGCTGCTGTGGCAGATCTTGGTGGAGAATCACATTCCTGAGGTGTTGCACGAGACACAGTGATTCTTCTCTGCTCCCGTCCCTTGTCGAACTGGTCTCCCCTACCTACCCAGTAGGCCTACAACGTGGGAACCCCTCCCTGGGAGCCTGCAGGGGGTCACCAGGGCATCTTCCACTTGGTCAGAAGCGAGGGTTGCCCTCCCGCCCTCTGGCCCAAGACATCCAGCTGCAGCTCCTCCCACCCAAGCCCCACAGTAGCCTGTGTGATCGTGATAAAATGCTCATTTTTGTCAGGTCAGCTGTTTGCTTAGAGCCCCTCCCTGGCTGCCAGTGCTCCTAGGAAGTAACTCAGACTCCTATAAACCGTTCCTGTCTCTTGCCCCCATCTTAACTCCTCCCCTCGGATCTCAGCTCCCAGGGAGGGTTTCTGACTCCCTGCTGAGACTTCATAGGCATACATCTTAGGCCCCCATAGCTTCTGGAATCTTTCCTGCCATAGCCACAACACTGTAATTATTACCTTACTTTCAAGATGATTTCTCCCCCGAAAACTCCCCAAGGGCAGGAGCTATGTCTGTTTTGGGCACCACTGCATTCCTAGCATGGAGCTCAGTCCTGACCCATGGTAAGTACTCAGTCCGTATTTGTTGAATGCATGAAATGGATCATGGAGTTTAGCAGAAGTTGAGTTTGGATTTTCTGAGTCTCCTCGAGACAGAACTCGGTTCCGTTGAACTTGGCAAGCCTTCCTGCAGCACTTCCTTATGCCCTTTCCTGCAAAGAGCAAAGCCCAGCTCTTAGCTTTGCCCTAACCCTGCACTGTGCTTCTCTCCCCAGAAGAGGCAGAGGATGTGAGTGAAGAAGCCCCATTGAGGGACCGCTCCCACATCGAGAAAACTCTGATGCTGAATGAGGACAAGCCAGTGGATGATTACTCTGGTAACCAGAGGAAGGACCTGGGACTGGGGGTGGGTCCAGGGCTGGGCTCTGAGGCTGGTGGGTCCCCAGGGCTGAGAGTCCTGGAGATGGGGGGCTCTGTGGAAGAGGCTCCCAGAGCAGTGTTCAAGGCCTGCGTGGGGGCTCTGGATTGGCAGGGAGGAGGAGAGGTGATCCAAGCAGAGGGAACAGGGCCAGGGTCGAGGACAAATCCCAGTACTGCTGCCGGGGGCCTGGTGCCAGCCTTCATGCTGTGGCCAGGGAGGTTTGCTAATGAGAGTTCATCCCATCTGCTTTGGTTTTTACAGTTTATAAAGCCCTTTTATTTCTGGCACTTCATCCTCAGAATAACCCAAGGCTTTCAGTGGGGCTCATGTCTCCTCTTCATTGAGGAGCTAGCTGGAGCTCAGAGCAGCCTCGGGTTTGCACGGGTCTCATGGCGCACACAGCTAGAGGAGAGCAGTGAGAAGGTCGGGTCTAGACAGCCTGGCCTGGGGCCCCAGTTCCTCCTTCTGGGCCTCACACCCTGCAGGCTCCCTGCCTCACCCTGGGAGTTGCTTCTCCCTGGAGGGAGAAGAGGATCAGGTTTAAAAAAAAAAAATAGTGCAGGAGGTTTTGAGGGTGGGAGGGAATGCCTTTTGGTTAATGATTTCTGAGGGTTGGGATGTGGACCATCTCCCTCCAGGAATGCTAATGTATGGCTGTAGAGTGAGGCTGCCACAGGGGGTTGGCTGTGGAGTGAGCCTGGACCCCCTTCCTTCACCCTCTCCCTTCACCCTTCTCTGCCCCCAGTGGTGCTGCAGCGGCTTCGAAAGATCTACCACTCATCCATCAAGCCCCTGGAGCAGTCTTACAAATATAACGAGCTTCGGCAGCACGAGATCACAGGTACCCTCGTGGCTGATGCCTGTGCCATGCCCTCTTGTGCTGTGTGAGTGGTGGACGTGAGGACATGTGGAGCTGAGCTCTCCTAAATCCCCCCGGAGGCCTCGGTCCTGGAATCATCCTTCCCCTGCAAGGGTACCCATATCTGCACAGGGTTTGGTGGAGACTACGTTGTTTTCGTGCATTCATGCTTCAGTAGTACAGTCATGGTTTCCCAGGACCGCGATGCCAGTTTCCATCCCTCCTGTGCTGAACGGTCCCCCAGGGCCCCTGACTGCGAAGAGATCATGTGTCAAGTCCCCTAATTTGTCCGGAATCCTTTTTTTTTTCTCCTTATCACTTCTTCGGTCAGCTTTCCTTGGGTCTGGATTCTTTTAAAAGTTCATTTTCAGAATAATAAAAACAAGGGATACTTGTTGCTAAAAAGAAATCAAATAGTAGAAAACAGTACGGATTGAAAAATAATCCCTCTCTTGATTTTCAGCGTTTCCCCTTCCACTTCAGAGACTCCCTCTGTTATAGTTTTCTGCAAGTACTTCCGGACATTTGCACTGTGCCCATGAGCAAACACAGGCGCGTCCTTCTCTGTTTGCATTTTACCCGATGGTATCACAGTGCATGGTTGCGGGTGCGCAGCCGCGCTTTGCTCTTTCTGAGCCTCTGAACACACCACCCTAGGTAGTCATTGTCCAGCTGACGGACGATCGGGCGTTTGCCACGTTCAGTTCCAAAAACGTTCCAAATGCGACTCTAATTGCTAGGTATTTTTGTGCAGATCCATTTGTAGGACACGTGTTTCCAAGTGCAACAGTGGAGTTAAGCATTTTCGTAGTTGTTGCCAAGTCGCCTTAGGTCGGACCAGTTTGTGGCCACCTTAATGGTCTGTGAGAGTCTTGTTCCCCCGCAGCCGTACCCTTTTCCTGAGCTGCTCCTCTCCAAAAACTTTCACGGTGGAGTCTGATGGAGTGGTGAGTGGCGTTACACATCTCTCTCTGTGTGAACTGGGGGTTTCTGTATTCTCTCATGTGATGCTCTCGATGGCTCTAAAGTGGGTAGGGTGTTTAGGCTAGCCATTATTCCCGCTTCACAGAAGAGGGCCCTCACGCAAAGATGCCAGGGATTCGCAGCCTCCCTGTGTCTCACCTGTGGCCGCCTGCACATGGCAGTAGCGCCCCCTGCTGCAGATGGCCGAAACAGCAGTCCCCAGAGAGCCCATTTCTGGTTCGTTTCTGGTTCATCTCTGCGGGAGCTGGAAGGTCCAGTTCCCCTTGTGTCTCCCAGGCCTGGGTCAAAGACATTCTCTGTAGGATCTCTGTGATTGTAACTGGGGACTCCTGCCACCCCCTCAAACTGCCTATCCCTTCCTGTCCTCAAGCCAGGGGCCAACATCCAGAGATGCGAGCGACTCATCATGTGTGTTTGCAGGCAGGGAGGAATGGGGCGGGGCCATGGTGTCAATTTCAGGCAATTATATATGTGCCTGCCATTTATGAGATGCCATCTTAGTCTTCTGGGACTAAGTTTCACCCTCGAGAAAGAAAACCAGCACCTCAAGAAGCAAGGTGCAGAACAAGAAGAATACTGTACTCCTCTTTGGAGAAAAAAGATGGGGAATGTGATATCTGCTCCTATTGCTTGGATTGCATGCATTAAAATGCCTGAAAGAATACATAGTGGGTGTTATGGTCTAAGCAGATTGGGGACAGGGGTGGGAGACTTTCACTCTATACCTTTTTATACTTCTGATTTTTGAACCAAGAAATTAAATACATCAAAATGGAAAAAAGTGGAAAAAAAAGAGTGTCTACTGTCAGGGCCTATGTAGCGGGCTCAGGGAGACAAAGAGGTTGGAGAACTTGAGGTGTACGTGACACTGGGTTGGCCCCTGTGCTGTGGCTCAGAGACGAGTTGCAAGAACAGACGCCTGCGAGTCAGCAGCCAGTGGTCTCATACCCCCCCTGCTCCCTGCCCCCCGGTTTTGAAAGCACTGGAGGATTCTGCCTTCCCTTCTTAGGGACTCCAACTGGTGTGGCCCGGGCAGGGTGCTCTTCCTGACATTGGACACAGGGCCCAGGAACCCAAGAACTACCTAGTCAGTGCTTGGTCCTGGGACCTGGCAAATAGGTCATGGTCTCTGGAGGCTAATTTGAGACTAGCCCGGAGCCCAGGGTCAGGCTGAGCCTGACGTAGGAATGTCAGGGGGCCCCCGTCCAGGATGTCTAAGATTATGTAAGCCTCTTTCATGTCTTTTTTTTTTCTGTTACCAATCCAGATAGCAGAGGGTTTTGTTTTTTTTTAAACTTTTTTTAGGATTTTTTTTTTTAAGATTTTATTTATTTATTTGACAGAGAGACAGAGAGAGAGCACAAGCAGGGGGAGCGGCAGGCAGAGGGAGAGAGAGAAACAGGCATCCTGCTGAGCAGGGAGCCCAATGTGGGGCTCGATCTCAGGACCCTGAGATCACAACCTGAGCTGAAGGCAGACGCTCAACTGACTGAGCCACCCAGGCGCCCCTTAAGACTTTATTTTTAAGTAGTCTCTACATCCAATGTGGGGCTTGAACTCACGACCCCAAGATCAAGAGTTACATGCTCTACCGATGGTGCCAGCCAGGTGCCCCCAGGTAGCAGAGTTTTAACCTCTCCCCCTGTGGTAGTTCCCTTCTCCCCTTATGAACTGTCCCCCAGATGCAAACCAGGAGGCCTCACCCACAGTGAGCTCTGAGTTGGTGTGTTTGTTGATGTCACTTACCTCCTTTTGGTGCCCGTGTGCCAAGGATCTGTGTAAGGCCAAAATCATGTCTCCTGGTGTCTTAACTGGGTGATCGCACTTATGTAGCAAGACACGTGCCATGGACTGCCACACCCTGCCCGGTCTGGTGTAGAATTCTATAACTCCGTCAGATGGGCGTGGGATGCGGCGTGAAGCACTGGGTCACTCCCGTAAAAACCTTGTCAGTCACTTCCATGTCTAATTCCTGCTGCCTACAGATGGGGAGATTACTTCCAAGCCCATGGTGCTGTTCCTTGGACCATGGAGCGTTGGCAAATCCACCATGATAAACTACCTCCTTGGGTTGGAAGACACTCGCTACCAGCTCTATACAGGTAATAGCGGGATTCTCTTGCCTGTGTGTTGGCGTGTCAGTGTCCTATGTGAAGGCATGATGAAACAGTCATGTGTGTCTTTAATAGAACGATGAGAATTACATACAAGAAACCAGCAGCTATAATCCGTGTTCACAGGAGCATTTTTCACAACGGCTGAGAGGTGGAAACCACCCAAACATCCATGGATGGATGAATGGATAAACAAAAGGGTCTATCCGTACAATAGAGTGTGGAGTATTATTCAGTCTTAAGAAAGAATGCATTTCTGAAACATGCTACAACATGCATGAATCTTTTTTTTTTTTTAAAGATTTTATTTATTTATTTGACAGAGAGAGACAGAGTGAGAGAGGGAACACAAGCAGGGGGAGTGGGAGAGGGAGAAGCAGGCTTCCCGCTGAGCAGGGAGCCCGATGCGGGGCTTGATCCCAGGACCCTGGGACCATGACCTGAGCCGCAGGCAGACGCCTAACGACTGAGCCACCCAGGCGCCCCAACATGCATGAATCTTGAAGACACTATATTGAAATAAGTCAGACACAAAAGGACAGATATCTTACGATTCCACTTACAAGGTGCCTAGAGTCATTCAATCCATGAAGACAGAGTAGAGGAGAGATTACCGGGGGCTGGGAAGCGGGAATGAGTGGGGACAGTTTCAGTTTGTGAGACAGATGGTGGTGAGGGCTGCACAACGGTGTGAATGTGCTTAATGCCACTGAATTGTACACCCAAAAATGGTTAAAACTGTCAATTTCATGACACATATTTTTACAATTAAAAAAGGAAAGAAGACACTAGCTTAGCAAGCAGGGTATCCAGTTCTTGAGGCAAGTCCGCCCTGAAACCCCTGGCTTACCCACTTCCTTTGTAGTAGGGTCTCTGTCGCAGAGGTGACTGTGTCCCGACTGACCTCGTGCCCATGCGTGCAGGTGCTGAGCCCACCACCTCTGAGTTCACTGTCCTCATGCATGGACCCAAGCTGAAAACCATCGAGGGTATCGTCATGGCTGCCGACAGCACCCGGTCCTTCTCACCCCTCGAGAAATTTGGCCAGAATTTCCTAGAGAAGCTGATTGGCATTGAGGTTCCCCACAAACTTCTGGAGCGAGTCACTTTCGTGGATACACCAGGCATCATCGAGAACCGCAAGCAGCAAGAAAGAGGTAGTTGAGCGCTTGTATCTGAACAGCTTGAGCTTTGTCTTAGAAAAGCATTCGACGGGGTGGTAGGCAGACAGGGGAGAGGAAAGGTGGCCAGCGTTGTCCAAGATGAATTGGATCCCTGTCCATGTGTACTTGACCTCTGGTTAGTTTGGGTTCTGGTTTGAACCTGACCTCGAACTCTTCCTGGTCCAGTGTCTGCTTGACCAGGCCTGCTTGAACAGAAGCCTGTATTAGACTTCCCAGCATTCTCTTCCAGTGGGAGAGGAGTGCCACTTTGGTCCCAGCAGACACGTGGTTATGACAGAGGCCACTGAGTATCACCATGACACAGGGCTGTCTGCAGAGATGAGTCATCACAGGGTATTTGTAGGACTATAGGCCCAGATGGTGGATCTCACTTTATGGTTATAACTCTCATTTTGGTTTCCTTACTGTTTTATTACTAGTAATAATATTGTCACTAATAATTATAATAGTAAATTAACCTTTATTCTTCTATTATGCATTGGATAATTCTATGCATTACTGGTTGATTGTTGTAGAAAAATTTCAAGACAGGTCTTCCTAGTCTCCTCATTTTGGAAATAAGTGGAAGGAATTAAAATATGTCGAGCACCTACTGTGTGAGAGGCAGTTTTAGTTACGTGCTTTACTTATAGCAACATCATAATCTTTATATCAACCTAGGTATTATTGTTCTTGTTAGTTTGTAGCTAAGATGGTACAGCTTGGAAGCATTTACTCTTCTGGGCTGGCCAGTGGCAGAACCCAAATTCCAGTCCGGGTCTTGGGCCAGCTCCACATTGTTTCCCCCTAAATAGCATTCCTCTCTTTCATATTCTTCTAATTCCCTGACTTCAGCCCTTCAATGTCTTTGCCACTGTCCCATATCTTTTTAGACAGTAGAAAGATCTCCATTTTGAAAAAGTATTTTACTTTCCTGGAGCCTTGGATTCCATAGATTAAAACAAGGATCAGGCTTTTCTTGGCTGAAGGCTGACAAGGCGCAGGAGATATGCAATTAATTCTTTTAGTCTTTGGAAGCCCAGAAAATCCCTACTGCCTTTATTCCCTTCAACCCAGGCAATGGTTTGGTTCTGGAAGGGGGCACGAGGGGCTTAGGGTGAGCCTGCTCAGTTTGACTTCTTGCTCCCCCCCCCAAGGTTACCCCTTCAATGATGTGTGCCAGTGGTTCATCGACAGAGCGGACCTCATCTTTGTTGTCTTTGACCCAACCAAGTTGGATGTGGGTCTGGAGCTGGAGATGCTCTTCCGCCAGCTTAAGGGACGAGAGTCCCAGATTAGGATCATCCTGAACAAGGCCGACAACCTGGCAACACAGATGCTCATGCGGGTCTATGGGGCCCTTTTCTGGAGCTTGGCCCCGCTCATCAATGTCACAGAGCCCCCGAGGGTTTATGTCAGCTCCTTCTGGCCACAAGACTACAAGCCCGATACCCACCGGGACCTGTTTCTCAAGGAAGAGATCTCTCTCCTGGAAGACCTGAACCAGGTGATAGAGAACAGGTTGGAGAACAAGATCGCCTTCATCCGCCAGCATGCCATCCGGGTCCGCATTCACGCCCTCCTGGTCGACCGCTATCTGCAGACTTACAAGGACAAAATGACCTTCTTCAGTGATGGAGAGCTGGTCTTTAAGGACATTGTGGAAGACCCCGACAAATTCTACATCTTCAAGACCATCCTGGCAAAGACCAACGTCAGCAAGTTTGACCTTCCCAACCGCGAGGCCTACAAGGACTTCTTTGGCATCAACCCCATCTCCAGTTTCAAGCTGCTGTCTCAGCAGTGCTCCTATATGGGGGGCTGCTTCCTGGAGAAGATTGAGCGGGCCATCACGCAGGAACTCCCCGGCCTCCTGGGAAGCCTCGGGCTAGGGAAGAATCCAGGTGCTCTCAACTGTGACAAAACAGGGTGTGGCGAAACCCCAAAGAATCGCTATAAGAAACACTAGGTCGTTGTGTCGCCGTTCTGGGGTTCTTGTTGGTGGATGAGCTTGTGTCCTGTCTGAGAAGTCCTGGTTTATTAACCCTTTGAGCCACACTGGCAAGAATCTTTACACGCCGGAGATTTGGGAGTTAATTGAGGCCAGTGGTGGGGGAGGGTGCGGGTCAAGGGAGGCCAGAGGAAACTGTGAATTATAGTGTGCCGGTCTTGTTGCTTCAGTGGGGGGCCTGACTGAGGCAGGTCAGGCTCCGCCTGCTTTTCCTGGGTCCTATCGCAAAGGGACAGAGAGCAGCTAAATTCTAGTGTATACTGAGCTTATACTGAGGTGATGAGCGTCCAGCTGAAAGCAGCTGAAATTCCTTTTTCGCCCTCTAAGCTGGGAAAATAGGGAAGACTTGATTTCTGTAGGACTGCTCAGGTCCTTCGTGGCTTCCTCCCGCGCAGTCTCCTGCTGGTCCTCTAGCCCTCTCCTGCTCCTTGCTTGGGTTGGCTTCAACAGGGGACAGTCTCTTGGGTTGGAATCCACCTGGGTTTTGAGCCTACCCCCAGGCCCTCCTCCCTGCTTCCTCTCGGGGCGGGGCGGGGGAACGGTTTAGGATACCAGAACGCTAAGAGAGAACAGGAGTCCCCCAGGCTAGGAGACGGAGCTGCCTACCCCCTGCCATTTCTCCAATGTAGTCTTCTAAGCCGGCTGGGAAGCTCGGTCCCTTTCTCGGCCCCAAGAGGAGGCTAGTGTTCCATGCATTCAGGTAATTGACTTCTTGGAAGTGACTTCAGTGAAACTACCAGAAGGGCTCAGAGGGTTAATTGGTTTGCAGTGTGTCTTTGTCTATTGCATGTCTTGGAAAACTCAGACCCCAAAGGCATTGGGTTTCAGAGGGGACGATGGAAACCTTGCTCCTTTTCATGAGGGTCTTCTCTGGGCAGCCCATCTACCCCGGATGAGGAGGAGGCGGTTTCCACACCTTCTCTGCAGAGGCGCTCTGCGGAAGGGTCATCCCCTTCTGGTTTTCATGCCATGGCTTCCCCTTTCTTCTCCATTCCCTGATGTGCCAACACTCAAAACTCAGAGTGATTTCCCACGAGTCAGAACCAGTGCCAGCCATTCGGTGTGGGTGGCAACCAAGGCTTCACATTCGGTTTTCCACCTGAACTTGATACTGATTCGCACCAAACATACCACAGGGCAGCCAGGGCCTTCAAATACGGACGGGTGTGAATATGCGTGTACTGCCTTGTCCAAGAGAGCTGAGGGAGACAGCAGAGGCCAAGGGGCATGGAGAAAGGATGCTCTGTGAGGGTCCTGCCTGGCTGCTGGGCAACCCTGGAGGGCAGTGGGGGATGGAGGGAAGGAGTCTTTTGATGAAAAGTAGGTGGGTGAACAGTTTGTGCAAATCCAGGAAACCTGGCCTAGGGCTGCCCGGAGCGGCACCTATGGCCTCGTGAGCCAGCCTCGCTTGGGAGTGAGCCATCTGGGGGGGCTTCACCATGAGGCCTGGGTCAGGGCCCACCAGCACCAGGGGGTCACCTTGGACCAGAAGGAAAGCGAAGATGAAGGCAGATGGGAGGCACTCTGAGGACAAGGCCATGGAAGCAAATTGCTGATCAATCAGATTAGGTCCCCGTGGAGAATTTGGAATTCCTGCTTCCCAGAATGATTAGCACTCGGGTGCATGCTGCAGCAGGACTCGGAACCTCCCACAAGAAAGCCAGAGGCCCCAAAGCCTCCGGGATATTGTTTCTAAGGACAGAACCAAGCAGAGCACCAGGGGCCTGCTGGGGCACCCAAGGAGCCTGGTGACCAGGGCCTGATGAACTGCTTTTTTTCTCATTAAAAACCAGCCCTTGCCTCACCTCCCCATCACGTCCCCTCTCACCTTGCTCCTTAATGTTCCCAATGTCCTTGAGCATATCAGGTTTTCTCCGTGCAGCAGGGCCGTACAAAGTACAGAACTGTTATAGCAGCTGATGCCCGCATCACTTTGGGGGAAGCGGGTGCAAGGAAGCCAGTACATTCATACAGGATCTTTGTTTTTGTGGGGCTGGGGCTGACATTATCAGTGTGATCTTTTCTTCCTTTCTCGTTCCATCCATTTGCCTTTTCCTATTTGTCCCTCTGCTCTCTCAACATGCCTTTTCTCTAAATGGCCCATAGGCTGGTCAGCAGGTCTGCCTAGGCTTTCAGTGCTGTTTGGGCCTCTGCTCTGTGGATGTGGATTTCAAGCAGAATTCTGACTCTTTGGGGAGGACGGGGATTGGGACCTGGGGGTAAATTTAGGATCCAGAGACTCCCCCCAAGAGGAGTTATCTGTAAGTATTTGTGCCTGAATAGTTGCTGTTTCTCTCCAAAGTGGAAACTTTCCAGTGTTCTTGCCATTCTCATTTCATCAGGGAGGAAATCTCAATAAAGTTCAATCTCTCTGTGACACTGCCTGCTTTCTCATGGTCTCTGGCCAGCCTAATCCCTTCCTCTTCCTTTTATCTAGTAGTAGACCGATTTTTATTAATACTTGTTTTTCAAGCAGTTTCAGGTCCACAGCAAAACGGAGAGGGAGGTGGAGGTTTCCCACACACCCCCTGCTGCTGCAATGCACAGCCTCCCCCACTAGCAACACCCCCAGTGGAGTGGAACATGTGTTCCAACTGATGAGCCAATGTGGGCACGCCATAGTCACCCAGAGTCCATATGTTAGGGTTTGTTCCTGGTGGTGGGCATTCTGCGTGTTTGGACAAATGTATCATGATGTGTCCATCCTTATAGAATATACGGGCTATTTCCACTGCCCTAAAAATCCTCTGCACTCCACCTGTTCATCCCTCCCATCTCTTCCCAACCCCGAGTGCTACTTTCTAAGTGTCTTAGGGATAGATTGATAATACACGAATTGCCCACTTGTATTTTAGACACCCCCATGCCTTCTTCTCTAGACCCCTCCTGCTTCCAGCCTGCCAGTGTCAAAGATGACCTTGAAACCCAGGCTTCCCATTGTAGGATTGGAAACGAAGCCATGCTCTCTCCTTAGCCCCTGGCTGTCATTCTCCCTGGCGTCTATGGCACTAGCCCGTTCATAGGAACTATGGAAGCTTCTGTCCCCAAGACTCTCAGAGAGGCAGACACGCCGCTACATCCATGTCCTCAACCACGCCACTGCCCACTTGGTAGCTGAAGATTCTGGGGAGGGAGCTGGAGGGTCTGCCCTGAATGTAAGGATGGTGCCTCCCCTTGGCTTCTGCTAAAAGTGGTGCTCCCCACAGCAGGACCCCGGGCTTCCTACTTGTACTTGTTTTTAGTGAATCCTTACCCTGTCCTTGACTCCCCAAGCAGAGCTCCTTTACTTTGAAATGGAGGGCTTCACACCCTGATTCAGAGCGTGTTTGCAAAGGGAGGACCTGGGCCCTGGGGAGTCGGTGGGAAGCTGGAAATAGACGGGGGTGTGAGAGTGAACAACATGCCATCATGAGGGGGTCGGTACAGGGAGGATGCGAAATTGGTGGCCACCTGCTCTGGGTTTCCTAAGTTGGGAGAGGCTGATCTCAGGGTGGGATGAATAGGGCAGTGTGGCTCATCGCTTCCCTCTCCCTTGCCCTCCTCCTGATTCGGGGGTCCGCAGTCCACAGTCAGCAATGTAGTAGCCTGACCCAGCTCACACCACTGCTGCCCTCCCCCAGGTCGGCTCTCCCGCCCATGACAGCAACTAGTGTTTTCCTATGACTGGGAGAAATACGGAGCGTTTTCCTGGAAAGCAGAAGGTAGGTGAGGTCTGTTTTGAAGATAAACATCACACACCAGAACGTGCCAGCATGTTCAAAATTGTGCTATTTCACAAGTACCCTACTGACACCTTTACATTGTCTGCCGTGAGGTCAGCCAGATGCTATGGAGAAAGCAAATCAAAGACCATTCTAAACCTAGCCAGGTGATATAAGGGGACTGAATGGAACGAATGTCTTCACAGGGATGCGTATGTATGTGAATATGTCGGGGTTGCTATGGTTATATGTACAAGGGGCGTGCAAATGCCTGCATGGAAAATTGGCATGTGTGCGGAAACCAATGTATATGTGAATGTTTGTGGCCAAAAGATCTCTGAGTATGTAGCACAGTGACCAGCACGGAGGACTCATTACCTCCGTGCCATCAGAATGAATGAAAGAGTAAGTGGGTTTTGGGGGGAGTAAAGAAGGTGTCTGTGTACCGTATGTTGTGTGTGGAGGGTCCTGGGAGGGGGGAAGGTATGTGTGGGTGTGGCTGTGAAGAAGTAATTGTATGAATGACATGTGGATGACAGATTATGGGAGCGTTAGGCATAGGCAGGTGTGTGCATGGGGAGAGCCAGATGCCCTACCCAGGGGGGAGATCCAGGAAGACCCAGCCATAGGAGGACACCTCTGAGGCCCTGGCTTTGCACTTGTAGGCACCCCCCCAACCCCTCAGCGAACTGAGGGGAAGTCGGAGCCTTCAAAAAACTCACAAGCGCTGGCAACATTTCGTGCCGATTCTACTGTCCGTGACATTTGGCTCAAGCTTTTCCCAGTCCAGGGAAACCTTGATGGCAATAAAAAAGAAGCATAAGAAAAACAAGAAAATGAAAGTAGTGACACAAATTTGCCTGTAGTAAAGGTGTATCCCACAGGTTCTGAGGTATCTATTCCCTGTACCAAAGGATAAAAAAATAACATGCATAAATGAGCATTTTCTGTGAGTGTTTGCATCGTGGATCATGTTCTCTGTTTCCGCATCATTTCACTGGGGGAAGAAAACCAACTTCTAGAGTCCCCCTTTGCCAGGAACTGGGCTAGAGACCAATAGACATTCCCACAGTTGTATTTGACATGATGAGGTAATTCTAACAGCCACATGCCAGGCTACAGGATAGGTGCTTTATGTGTATTATTTCGTATAATGCTCACATCGCCCCACAGGTAGGGAGCTGTCTCACACGGAAAAGACCAGAGACTCCGGAGTCGGATCGCTTGGGCTTTGTCCTGGGCTCCAGCACTTACTGGCTGGGCAGCTCCAGGCAAATGACACAGTTGTGTGCTTCAGAATCCTCAGCCATGAAATGAAGATCCGAAGAGCCCCTCTCTCTGCGGGGCTGAGGTGAGGATGAGATCACTTAAAACAAGCAATGTGCTAGAAGTAGTATGCAGCCCACAGCAAGCATTCCATGCATGTTATTATTATTCATATTTTACTGATGAGACTGATGGTCAGAGCGGTGGGGAGGCGGCATGTGGAGGTGTGAGGGCCAGAATTCCATCTGAAGCCTGACTCACGCTACGGCAGGTGAGGTTACTTGCCCAGGGTCACATTTGGTGACACTGGTCTTTCTGATCCCAGGGCCTTTCCCTCCTCTTCAGAAACTGACAAAAATGAAGAATTGCTTGATTTTTTCAATGGTCCCTCAGCACCTTGAACCTTGGTGGTAACGAAATTTTAAAACACTTACACGTAATTTGCATTAGAAAATTTATTTATTTACTTAAAAGATTTTATTTATTTGAGGGAGAGAGAGAGCTTG